CTTCAAAACCAAAGGCTTCATTGTATCTTTCAGATCATGTACTATCACACCATACCCCCACCCTCCCCCTTTATCTAAAATGTTTATGCTTTTAATTTTCTGCTGTCCTTCTGTTTTGCACTGGCTGGAACCTTGGTTATGCAAAGCAGTTGCCAACTTCTRTCTGTGTTGCAAAAATACTGCATAAAGTCAAGTGCAATTATGGTGTAAGCTTGCCTACATAATGTGACTAAAGGAATACTTCACAACTCTTAAAGTAATACTTCACCTCTTCAGGGGTTATGAACAACACATATAACCAGTTGCATAATAGCTATTTAAACRGCCTTAGCTTGGGCGAATAAAGTTTATTCTGATCAGATTGAGAATTTAATGACTAGTCTGAGCTGGGCCAAAATCAGAATAGATTGCTGTCACATTAAAACAACTCTTATGCATTTACAAATATTAAAATCACTGTCAACTTTGCATTGCACTTATATTCCTATGTTGTTGTTTTTTTTTTGTTTTGTGTGTGTGCAAATGGCAGCAGTAGCTACCTGTAGTATTTCCAGTGCAGCCTGGGGTAGTCCAACTAAAGTATCTTACCATTTCTACAGGAATTACCTTGTTTTGCAATATTGGCAGTGATGTAAATGTTTATAAAATAGTGTATTGTGAAGAAGAAGAAGAAGAAAAAGAAGAAGAAGAAGAAGAAGAAAAAATGGCATTTTAAGACAGCGTTAATGCTCTTTGGACTTAGCTCTGCTCTGACAAATCATTATTTTGTTAGTTCAGACAGAATTAAACTATTTCTCCAATTATAGTTCATTTTTATTTTTAAAGTTTTTTTACAGATAATCTGAAAAATGATTTTACTTTTAAAATGTAATTTCTTACAGTTTGTTACAAATCTCAATATCATTTGRCTAAATTACAGATTAATTTGAAGATCATTTTTAAAGGGGGAGGGGGCGTATGCAAAATGGACTTTTTGAGAGTTATATCATGTTATGATGTAATTCCCTCATCAAAAACATACACAGGGTGTTTCTTTGACTCATTCATGCATGTTTGAGATTTTTTTGAATCTCCTGTGTGGAGCTGCCTAAGTGCTTGTGAGTACAAAGCACCGCTTATTTGTACATAGCTCCTCCCTTGAGCTCAGTTTGCTCCCGAGCTTCCACTCCATACAGCACCCCTTCTCTCAGGTGTCAAAAACCTTTGATAATTCCATCCGCGATGTCTACCAGCAGCTTCAGGGCTAGTGATGTTTCAAGTGGTAAGATTATGAGCTTTAATAGGTAAAATTATCCCAGCTACAATGACAGACAACAAA